ATGGGCTTCCATCAGACATGTAGCCCTAATCTCTATGAAACTTAGAACGAATATGGTCAGTACATTGGAAGTGATTGCAAACTATCTCGCTTTGAACCCAAGATGTGAGATAAAACCGGTAATCAGTATAACTTAAGGTAAATCTATGCTTTATTCAAGTGGCTATCAATCAGCTAGCTGGTCTCAGTGCTGAGAGGAAGGAGGCCAGCTCAGCCTCGCTGCCTGAAACACTGATTTATTGAGCAGGTAGTCAACGTGAAACTTGTACTGTTGCTTGTATGTAGTTAGTATCCACCCAAACTAATCTAGGGTTGGCTCAGGTATACCTGTACAGACCACAGTTACACTTTCTGATTATATGTTTGTGATTTTTAAAAAGCCTGTTCATGATCTAAAAAAACCCAACACACACTGATTTTACTGCAATATTGTTCTGAACCTGAATGTCTCTTGTGTGTAGGCTTGATTTTTTAAAATTTCTAACCATTTTTGTTGAATTTAGACACATCTAATGAAGCTACAGTTGATTTAATTCCTGGGAAAATAGGTGGGGTGCAATAGGAGCTGTGGAGAAGTGCTTTTTGTTGGAGAGGCAGGATTAACAATGAGAGAAAGGAATGGAATTTTGTGTGTGGAGGGAAGAAAGAAATGAGTGGAGGTAGGGTGGAGGCTTGGAGTACCTAAAGTATTGTTTGGGGAGAAGGAGGGTTTAGCAGCGATGTACCATAGATGTGGAGGGAAGGACAGATGTGCGAAGAAGGCATGGAATGGAACTGGCCAACTTTTTATTATACTCTGGTATTTGAAAGGCTTGCCTGTGTGCATAATGATGCACTGACAGAGGTTGGCAGCGCTTCTCTGCTTCGTGGAGTCATGCAATTCCTATAGCTGGTCATTTAGTTTGCTTCTCCGACCTTCCTCTGCCATCCGCACTCTGGAGGATATAAATATATACTCAGCTGGTCCATACTAAATGCCTATGGGCAGTGAAGTGACTTCCCGGTTTTCATCCTGACACAAGAGGTGTGTGTATGAGGGGCACTAATATGAAGGCACCTGTATCCACAAAAAGCTAAGCCATGTATTTTTACTAAGATAGCACTTCTCAAATCTTATGTCAAGTGATATGAGAACCTATGCAGAATATATTGTAAACGGCATAATTTCTTCTTCCCATAATTTCTTTCTGTCCCATTTGCCTGCTGCGCTGTAGAATTGCATTCAGATTACGGGCACTGTGATGTGAAAGCTTCAGCAATGTTAAAGTTAAGACATATACAAACATACTGCATTTAATCTGTAAGCTTGGGTTATTTAGGACAAAAGTGGAAATATATGGGTTGTTAGTGCAGATGGGAAGCTTACCTGAACTATAACAAACACTTCTGGGATCTTAATATGTATTTATCACATTGATTTGTTCACTATAATGGGGTTTGTCAATTTGGCACATCAGAATAATGAAAGGTCCAATTCAACAAAAAATGTTATTCAATAGAAATTACTTCATGTTGCTCCCTATCACGTTTTGTTTCTAATAAATAAAAGTAATGTACAAATGTGTGGTAAATATGGCTTGTATTGATACAAGTAAGAAAATGCAATTGTATCCAAGCATATATCTTATGTTTGCTTAAGTAAATGATTCTTAGTATTCAAATGGTTGTAAGTGTGGGTTGCTTGTTACACTGAAGTTAAACTGTAGTTTGAAATTAAATAGAACTATATGAAATGAGTATAAACGTACACAGAGTTTTAAATGCATTTTTTCATACTCTGACTTTTCTGCTGTATCTTGTTGGAATACGTGGAGGGATGCAAATTTTACTTTCACCTAAGGAGCTGCTTAAGTGGGTGTGAATGTACAAAAATCTTAGGCTGAGAAATTACTTTAAACTGTATATTGTTGAATGGAACCATGCTATGATTGTCAGAGTGGAAAAGGAAGCATTTTTACTCTTTGAAACTGCTTTATATATTGCTTTGTATATTTTGTTGTGGGAGATGGGCCTAAGGTAGAGTGGGAGTATTGCTGTTTTTCAGACTCTAGCATTTAGCCTAGACTAAAGTTCAGGGTATCTTCACAGAATATTTCAAGACTCGAAATATCTAGTCTTAAGTGAGAGGCAGTTGGGGGTAGTGAGGGTGGGATTCAGATCTTTAATCTCTTTTATACAATGAGTAAGACTTTCAGTAGTAACCAGATTAACTGTACAGTCTGTACACAATGTGCATATATAAATGTGTGTATATAAATTTTTGTTATAATTCAGTCAACTCTTGCAGAAGAAAAATAATTTTTAGTCTTCAGGTTTTTAGATATTGTTCATTTTGAAATACTGTTCTTGTTGGAGTATACTTCAAGAGTTTTCTCTGAATTGCTCCTATAAAAATCTAAGTCCAAACTTTGCTCCATACACCTTTGCATTCATTGTAGTGTTCTGTTATTTGTTAGACTTAAGATTTTTGCTGGTTGATCCATGCTACTAATGACTTTTTTTTTCTTGAGCAATATAGGAAAAATTTGCACTACCTGGGATGTCAACAGAACTGATGAAGCTTAATTTCACTGAACTTTAATAGCTGTGGGTTGTGTGACTGAAAGCTTTTGGAGCAGGTGTGGTAAAGCTGCTGTAGCTAAGCACTTTACATGAAATGTGCTGTAGATAGTAGGACATTATTCTTTCAGAAAGGATTCTGTCCATCCCCTCTTCATGCATAGTAAATTTAACCCTGTTTTTTAAAAGATGAAAACAAAATACACTTTTCCATGTAATTTCTTGTGGATGACACAAGCAGCATAGCTGCCATTTGTTTATTTCTAGTTTGGAGCAGCACCTTTTTTTTTTTTTTTTTTAATCAGTAAAATCTTCTATGTAACAGCTATCACAGTGCACTGTAATAAACTTGTGTATTTTACTTATCAGGGCTTAAGCTGGGTAATTTTTAAGTTCTCACCAGGAAACTTGCTGTAAGTTGCAACTTAAATAAATAACATATTCATGCCTTTGAGACATCTTTTAAGTGATCTGTTAGGATTCCAGTGTTTCTCTTTCCTACTGTTACAAGATTTGCCTTTGTCTCTGGTTCCTTAGTGAATTCTTAGCATAGTTGTTCTTTGGGGTATAGCAAATTCCTTTGGGGAGGAGGGGATGGTTCTTGCGTGTAGCTAGCTATTAATAGTTCAGCAAATCAGTTGCATCTACTGCTTTAGATGGTGATATTCCTCTTCTGCTGTATTCCTAGTTTGCAATTGAAACAACCAACCAACCTTTTTCAGTTTTTCTGCTTAACTTCTGATACTTGCATCTACTTCTAATGGAATTTTTTTTTTCTAATACAGTTGATGTCTACTGCTTTCCTTTTCCTTTCTTCTTTTGTCTCTCCATCCCACTTGATAGCAGTTTACTTAGAAGAATCCATAATGTTTACTTACACTGAAGGCCTACACCTTTAAAAATGGTGAAGACATTCAGAAAGCACAACTTAGGAATGCATTGTTTACTTCTGCAAACTTGCCAATGAATGTACTTGCTCTAAAATACTGATTTAATTTAAAATTCCAGTTTCTAAAACTAGTGGGATGAAGTATCTTGTGTAAGCAGTAATATAATTTTAAAATACTTGCTGATTTGAAATACATGAGGAAGAAACTCCTCCTTTTGGAGAGATTCAGTTTTGTGTTTCAGTTAGACCTGTTTACTGTTTAAGCCATTGTCACATATTAGGCTAAACTGAATTGCCTTGAGCCATTAGGGTCTGCCTTCATAAGATTTAAAGAAACCTCCCCTGGGCCTATGGTGCACTTCTGAAGCATTGCCTTATCTCTGTAGAAGTAATTGTGGCACCTTAGAATTACAAATTTTTTTTCTTGCTTGCCAGGTTTTCTGCATTTCTGCTTAGTTCAGGTCTGAGAATGATGTAGATTTGGGATGTTCAGTTTAGCATTCAATTTCTTCTTTTAATGTCTTTGAATAGCTAGGAGACTTTCAGCTTTTTTTTGTTACAAATGAGCTATGATGGGCACTTGAATGCTTTCTGCTCTGGCTGCTGTTGCTCAGTTAGCTCAGGACAACACATTCTCTTCTGTGTTTTCTTTTTTTCAAAACAACTAGTTTCATGCCTCAGTTGGCATCTGAAGAATTTGTAAGCCACCAAAATCAATTTTCTCAGTTAAGGAGATTCTTAAAATAAACATTACTTTTGCTTTCATCATAAACTGTAAAATGAAACCAAGGAAAAATGCAGTTAGGTAATACAGCCCACTTGAAATTGGTTGAAAGGAGAAGGAAGCTAAAAGGTATAAGGAAGTTGTCAGAATCCTGGGTAGGGATGCTGTGTTGTATAAATGAGTCTTGAGAGTGAGCAACAAAGAAAGAGAAAAGTAGACAGTGTAATCTGCTAACAACATACTTCGTTTCATTTTCAATGACAGCTTTTTAATTTTCATGGAGTTTTACAGTAAACTGGATTTCTGTTAGTAAGGATCAATTGGGGAGGAGATGCAGAAAGAAGGCTGCTTCCTAATGGCAATGAATAGCAATTAAAACCTTTTTACACTTTCAATTTAGCATCTAATATTTTATGTAGTAATTGCAGCTGTACCTATTGGAGAAATTTTGATGAGAAAACAGTAGTTTATTTGGTGAGGATGTGAAATACAGGAAATAAACTGATATAAACTATTTTAAAACATTTCAACCTCCTGACAGTAAAAAAAATCCAACAGCTTAAGCTTTGTAATTTTTATTATTTTGTTACTTCTTGTTTTAACTATTGTCACATTTTCATTATTTCATTAGCAGATCTGTATTGTTTGTTACTTCTTGCTCTTTGCTTTACAGTCTTATAAATATCAGATTTAAATGGAGAGAATGAGGCTGGCATGGAAAAGTCAGTCCTATTTTGTGGTGGGCCTTAGGGTGTAACTGATGATGAGCCCTTATAATTGCCACTTTCAGCCAAAGTTTGGTGTAATAAGCTTCTTTTATGTCCTACAGCTTTTTTTTGCATTTGCAAATGAAGAAAAGTTTTCTGAAAATGGATGGATGGTGTACAATCCAATGTCCGAATACAGGAGACAAGTGAGTTACTAAAGTTGCAGTAGCTTGGTGCCTTTCATATCTGACAACTTACATAGAGGAATTATTGTTTGTACATTTCTCTTATCAGCTCTTTTGTGGGGGGAGCTGAGAATGGGAGAAGGTGGAAATACAACTTGCAAAAAAGTAAAGAAAAGAAATAAAACACTGGAACCTTTAAAAAAATTAGAATGTCACAGGAAGGTAGTCTTTGCTCTTCGAAGGAAGTTATTGATACTTCTTACAATGTGCCACTGTTAAGTGAGCACAGGCAGGGAGAATGTGCCAAATACGTAACTACAGTGTCTTAAATGTAGATTTGATTTGATCTTTGATTTGGTCTACTTGTTCCTGAAGAGAAGGAAAAAAAAAACCAAGCAGCTTATTTTAGAAACAGCGTCGCTTTACAGAAGTTATTTGTGTCTATCAGTATTCTATCTTGCTCTTTAGGTGACTGTGGAAAAATGTCAATTAAAGAGGATGATATGTTTAATTTTAAAATGTCTTTTAGACAATTTATTTTTGCTTTAAATATGACATGTTTTTTTTTTTTTAAATTTAAATGGCAGACAATAAGAACTTCCTCAGATTTCCCCCCCCACACCCCCTCCATAGTTTTTGGTTCAAGGTTTAGAGGCCTAAGATCCAAAAAAGGTAAAATACAAACACCCACACAAACCCCACTCTGTGTGTGTGGAGGGCTTATCAGTCTTTCTCAATTTCCTGGCTGCTGTTTGTGAAATGCTTTATTGAGCAGACTGCAACTAAAAGTTGTTGTTTCTCAATAGGAAAGCTACCCTGAATCTTATTTTTACCTGGAGGTAGTATCAGGCTACAGGGAAGAAAGGTTGAGATGAGACTTCCTCCTGCTGCCTTTTCAGGACCATAGTCTCTTTTCAGCAGGCAAAATGGAAAACCAGAACTTTGAGGGAAGAGAGAAGGCAATTTTCTTTCCTCAATCCCACAGTTAAAGAAATACATCTACTAGTTTTACTCATTGTTTTGAAACTTGTTCTAAGAATAGGATTGTGTATGTAAGAGTATATGGGATAGCTATGCAGTTGTTTAAGGCTGTGAGTCCATCAGCAATGAGCTGTTTTGTGTAGTCTTGTACTCTTTTTTTCTTCTATTGTTTTGAAGTAGTACTGTAGTTATGTTAAATTGGTAGGTTGTTGCCACCATGTGGCCATAATGTCATGTAAAATTCAAAAGCAGATTATTTGTACAGTCAAAAATCCGTTGAAAACTTTGTGTTACATTTTAGGGACTGCCTAATGAACGGTGGCGAGTAACTTTTATTAATGAACATTATGGACTGTGTGACACATATCCATCGCTTTTAGTAGTGCCATATAATGCAACAGATGATGATCTCAAGAAAGTTGCTGCCTTTAGGTCCCGAAATAGAATCCCGGTGAGTATTATGTGATGAAAGTTACCTTATAGTGTAGCTAGTTTAAGTATGCATCCAAACAACTTTTTGCTGAACACGACACAGAGGATGCTTTTTTTGGAAATGGTTACAGCAAAATAGTTTTGATTGGCTGGTGTTTTTTTTACTGCTTGAAACTAGTGTCTTGGCCAAGCCACATTTCCGTTTTTCCCCCACGACAATCACTCATTCCAACTTTGGTTTTGTCTTGACTTTTCTAGGAACAACTGCCAGCATTGCAGATTCCCTTTTTTTAATGAAGTATGAGCCTTAGACTGCCATCTGTACTAGTTCGTTGACTATTGTTGGATGCACATAAAAAGTGCTAGCAAATGTTACCCTCCTGTAAGCAAACTGCATGGCATTTAAACGTAGTTCCAATGGTCAGTCCTAAAATAAGACCTCATGCATACTGTCTGTAGCGAATTCTTGGGCTTTTTAGTCCTTTAAATTGAGCTGTGGAATTTAAGATAAACCCATTTGACTTTTTTGGGTATATTTCTGTAACTAAAATTTTCTGAGGCAAGAGAATTTTTATGTAACAGCTTTTATAGCACTATAGAATATATTAATTTCTGTCACAATACAATCTGTTTTAACTAATATTTCAATTTGGCAGACTCAGAAGAGGTGCTAGATTCTTAGTCAGTATCAGAAAGCTGCCTTGAATCTCAGTTAATTTCAAACAGATGCAAAACTCAATATGATAAATAATTATTAGATATGGTATTTACTGACAGGCTAGGCCTATAATTATAAGTTTACGATATGTACACACATATGTATATGTATAATATATAATGTGTATAAAATATATATGTTGAATATATAATGTGTGCATATAGTTCTTCTAACCTAGCTATATCTTCTCTGTCATCTCAAAATTCATGACAGGGCTTTTGTATGCCTGTACAGTGAGAGTCATTGTCTTGGTAATAGTAATTTTATTCTTGTCAGGAAATAACCAATCATACTCGCCCACACACACACTGACAGGTCTTATTTCTAGATATACAACTAAGGGTTGTATTTCAGGAGTGAATACTTTCTGAGGCTTTTTTTTTTTTTAACTCTGATGTTCTTTCACTCTGTAACCCACAACTTTCAGACTGGGTGAGAATACTGTTTCTTAATATTCTTCAACGATGAAGTTAGAGTTTTTGCCTGCTTCTTGCAGTGCTTATCTTTAATCTCTTACACTGCAATCTGTTCCCTGGGCAGCTCACTATCTCTTGTTTGTGGTAAGTCCCCTCTGGCTCAGAAGAACAACAAAGGCAGCATGTACTCTGCTCCAGTGCCTCCTCTTTTGTGACGAGGGCTGAGGAACAAAATGTACTTTAAAGAGAAGGGGAAACATTCAAGATACTGCAGAAAGGTTCAACTTTCCTTCCTTATCCAAAAAAAGGGAAAAGTTGTTCTTGTAGAATTGGAGCATCTTAGTCACTGTTTCTACAATGAGTTCATTCTTCTGAATTGTTTCTTAGTTTTGGCAGGCATTGCTATGTTTGTTTACAGTTTGCTTTTCAGAATTATTTGTGCAAACTAAGACTTGTACTGGATTATATAAGTAAGCATAATTTCAATAAGAGTTAAATATGTAAGAGAATGAACTCTTAAAGATTATTATCAATTAAATTTTATGAGACTAAAGTGGAAGTAGTTGAGATGTCTGGGGATTATCTATTGAAGAAATAAAATAATATGAAAATTAATACTTTTTATCTATTTTAAAGAATGTAACTTAAGTTTTAAGTTACGATTTTTTAATAAAATATATGTCTTCTAATGTGTTTGACATGTGTCTAGGTTCTGTCATGGATTCATCCAGAGACTCAAGCTGTTATTATGCGCTGCAGTCAACCCCTTGTTGGAATGGGTGGCAAGCGGAATAAAGATGATGAAAGATATCTTGATATCATCAGGGAGGCTAATGGGCAAATCTCAAAACTGACCATCTATGATGCTAGGCCCAATGTCAATGCAGTCGCAAACAAGGTAAACAGATGCTTAATAGTCTTATTTTTGAAGGGGGTGGGGAGGAGACTTAGTTTGAAGTTTTCTGTGAGGAGGTATTTGGAAACAGTAATCTTAATGTAGATAACTTTATATAAGCAAATATATATTTACAAAACCAAATACTGAGGCTCAAGGCCATGAAATGACACGAATGCCTAAAGTAGGTCATAAGCAGGGTTTCAGGACCATATGTGGATTTCCAGACACGCTTTACCCTGTCTGTTATCGGTCAAGCACAGATCTTGGCATGGGACTGAAGTCAGGTATGACTACCCTTTGCACTGTGAGGGAGATGTAGGCTGAGCTGTAGAGCATCTCCTCTGTTGGAATGACATGCCACCTCTGTGCAAGACACAGCTCTGCTTCATGTCCTCTGGGAAAATTCTGTCCTGGAAAGGCTGTGTGCATAAAGCCAAGCCCACTGATAGGCATCCTTTGGTTGATTCTTCCTAACCATTACATGAACTAGTTCAAACCTATCCAGGCATCCAGCAAATAAAGAGAAAGTGATAAGTTAATCTGGGGGTTTGCATTCTAAACAGCAATATGGGTATGATCTTGGATACCTAGATACCTATTTTTCCCTAGGTACCTGTAGTTGGTAAGTGCGGTAACAGAAATAGTGTTTTACATATGACGTGACCATTTCTTTGCTAATCTGCAGTCAAAGCCTAAATGGGATCAGAATCATAGAACAGCCCAGGTTGGAAGGGACCTCGGAAGATGATCTGGTCCAACCTTTCAAGAAGAAAAGGTGTCCCTGTGCCTTGATATCCTTTCTGCCCCCCTCAACTCTGGTGAGGACCAGATTGTTAGGGCATACTCAGATAATGCCAGTCACAGTGCATCAGTGTTGTATTTGACATAGAGCACAGCAGACATGGATGTGCTCCATGTTTATATGGAGAGTCTAGCTAGGGAGAGGCGGTGAAGGATGCAAGTTTAATGCTTTCTTCATATAAGAATGTACCAAATTCACTCCTTCCAGTCTAGGATAGTCCCTTACCCACTGAAATTCAAGCACAAATGGAGTGGACATGCTCTCCAGTACTTACTAGTGAAGTTGTGTGTCTGCACAGCAAAAAGCGTGAGAGGTACGAGCTCAAGATGGTTTGAGATCTTAGTGAAATGATGAGTGTGCTTATCTGGGAGAGAAGGAGTTCTAGCTTCTGAATAGTTTTTTTTGTTTAAATGAACACTAGTGGAATGAGCCCTCTTCAATGTTTGTGCTGAAAGGAATATGAAATGGTAAAACTTGTTTGCTTCTAGGAGGTTTATATGTAACATGTTAAGTTGCTTCAGAATTCAAGAGGGACAATAATGTTAGTGTTTTGCTCTGTGCAACTTAAACGCACGCATCTGTACCTTTATATTCTCTATTATAGAGAAGAGGGCTGTAATTTATTAAGCAAGAAATAAGGCTTTTTGTATAGCATGCATTTGTTCAGACACTCTATCCTAGAGGCTGTTTGGCTGGGTTTTAATCTGATGGTTTGTATTTTGAGGGTCTGCTTCAATTGCTTGCATTTTGCTCTACAAATCACATTATCCTCTGCACACTGAATTTTAATGGGTGAACAAAACATGTAATCCTTCTGTTTGCCTTGGGGAAGGAATGTCAGTTCTTACATGAACTTAAATTTTTCCCCAGTTCTTGGACAAACTAAAATTTTTACCCCGTTTGTTTCAAAGATGTATTATGGCCAAACTTTTATACACGCATACTTATTGAAGTATGAAGCACAGTTTTCAGCTTTTTAAAATGGTCTATGTATTGCACCCATGTGTTTTAATTAACTCCTGATATGTCTAAATATGAAATACTCAGTCGTAGCAGTGAAAGCGGTAGAGTGCATTTCTGGGTCTGAGAGTCCAAGCCAGCGTTGATCAGCACTGAAAAAACTTTCCTTGAACAGCTGTGAAAATAAGTGTAAGCAAAATCTTGGGCTATGCTACTCATGCATTCCTGTGTTCTTTGTACATAGGTCAAGACCGCACAGTCAGTAGGAGTTGCAGCAGCCCTGATGCTAAAATTACAATCATTCCTCACCAGGCCTTCATAATACTCAAAGGAAAGAGAAAAATACAATCATTACTACTTTTAGCACAGAGCCTGGCAGCTCTGAGAATACCACCACATCTGAGGAAGGAGATAGAGAGCACAGAATAGAGAGACTGTGCTACTATACAGAAATGTAGGTGGTACTAATGGGAAAGGGCTATGCCGTACTTCAGGTTATTGTCTGATGTGTAGTTGGTGGCTGTAATGGCTTATAAAGGCAAAATTTATTTATCGCAATTCATGGCATGGCATGTTTTTGCTGTCTGCAGGAAATGCTGCGATTTTGCAGCTATCTTCGGAAAATTTCATCAGTGGTACTGTGTCCTAAATTACGTGTGGTTTTTCCACTTCCTTTTGTGACCAGGCACATCCTCTGCTGTGGTGGTAATTAAATGTTTTGAGAGAGCAGCAGTAGAATAGCCCTTCTACTTATGTGGCTCTTTAATTTCTTAACGATCTGAATACATGTTTAGTCTTTAGCAATAAAATTTAATGTTAGAAAAGTTACTTTAAACTTTAATGTTAATATTAATTTACTTCTTAGAGGCAGAATCTCAGATTCTTGAACTTAATTCTTAAACGAAACATAGCTTATTCTTAATGGAACTCTTTAGTCATTAAATTTAATATTTTTTAAATCTATTTCAATTATCAGTTCAATTTTAGTAGTAAATAACTAGGCTGTTTTAAGCATGGAAGTCTTTTGGTGGGTTTGGTTTTTTGTTGTTTTGGGGTTTTTTTGTAGCAAGTTTGCACTTGTAAACCTGAGATTACACCACTCTTAAGTTAGTGGTGTAAAGAAACAGACAAATCCTTTTGACTGAATTTCTTTCCACTTGGTACAGAAACAAAGAAATGAGCAATTTTATTCTCCGGAGTTGGTGATCTAGTGTATGTTATGAGTAATTGCTGTTTTGTGTGATGTACTTCACATTTTAACTTAACCTTAATAATCTGTCTAGGAAGTAAGTTGATTTTTTTTGTATTCAGAATCACAAGTTTGTTTAATCCTTGGTAGGAAAAGTGAACATAAACGAAGAAAAAATATTGACATTGTAATGTCAGTTGGTCGGGGAAAAGCTGTTTCCACCATGAATCTCAAAAGTAATGAGGAAAGGTACAAGTGTCTTTATTCTCAAAGCAGTCTGAGTCCTGACTGATGTGATGCTGGCCCACTGTCCCTTACCTGGCTGTTTCAATCCTATTCAAAGGTCTCCAGGCCCAACAGTACAAACAACCTCTTAGTGTTAATCTAAAATAATTAATTTTCTCTTTTAGGGTTACTCCCTTGAGGTTTTGAAAGGAACTAGGCTAGCTGGAGCAACTTGAATGTCTTTTTGGCCACGTGCTATGCTTAATACATTTTGTCCTTTTGGACAAAGGAAAGCCCCCCAGTATTCTCCAGCATTTGCCCCTCCAAAGCTTGTGTCTGAGACTGATGTTTTAAACAAGCAACTGAAATTATATATTGCTCTACTACAAAATAAAGTATAAATAAAATTCAGTCCCTTCCTGCTCTGTTGGAAAGCTGCTACAACAGTGTATCTATGAGTAAAGTTAATTTTAGGACTCTTGTTTGTAGGCAACTGGGGGAGGATATGAAGGTGAAGATGCGTATCCCAATGCAGAACTTTTCTTCTTGGACATTCATAACATTCATGTCATGCGGGAATCTTTGAAGAAGTTGAAGGACATTGTTTATCCTAATGTGGAAGAATCACACTGGTTGTCAAGTCTGGAATCAACCCATTGGTTAGAACATATAAAGGTAACTTTTTGCTGTTTGTTTGAAATAACAGTTGTCCAAATCTGTTGTATCAGACTTGCTTTCTTTGCTAGACTTTGAGATAGTCCTTATATGGAACACATCAAACTACTTGGACTACAAAAACAGCATCACTGAGTGTTGGCTTTTTGCCAACTAGTCTTAGAGTATGTTATGAGATCTCATTACTAAGCAACAGTAGGTGAAATTCAACGTTTGTCTGCCTTAAGTCAAATGTCAGTCTTTAACAGAGGAATGCATTGCTAGTGTGATTGTCTTTATGTGTGTGAGAACTGATTTATTTTGGTTTCTAGCAATACAGACTATAGATAACTGTCATTGTGAAGGATTAGTAATTAATTTAGTTGTCAGTATGTATGTGACTTTATTTTGTGAATTATGGCTTTGTAAATAAATCTTGTAAATTTATTTGTAAATTTTGTAATTGTCATCTTGTAGCACAAATAAAATACTTAAATTTACCAGTGTTCTTACTAGTTGACCTTCGAACCTTTTGCCTCAAGTGCAACTGTGCAAAAGTATTTAGTATATTATGTAATGACTCCTACTTAATAAAATTTTTATTTTAAGTTAATATTTGGAAAATAAGCATAATAGAAGGGTACAAGTTCCTTTTTCCAACAATTGAGGTATTTCAGTAATTTAGCTCAAAGCAAGGAGCCAAATGAAATACAGAATTTTTAGAGAGTATATCCTATGGTAAATCCTCTCTTTCTTTAAAAAAGAAGCTTATGTTCTTCAGTTTATCAAGGTTACTGTTTTCTGCCCCATTTTTTAAGAATTTGCTGAGATGAATTAGATCTTACTAAGGGATTAGGGAACCAATCTGTTTCTCTATTTTTATACAAGAAATTTACTTGATCTCCTAGGAAATTCTTTTCCAATTAACTACACCATGCTCTTTAGGTCTTTTAATGGAAACAGTATTGATTTAGATGCTGTGTAGATACAAAGAAATCAATTTATTTTTGTTAGAATGATAACACTAATCTGTGTGTTTTGGCGTCTGTTCCTCTTTGCTAGCTTGTCTTGACAGGAGCTATTCAAGTGGCAGACAAGGTATCCTCAGGAAGGAGCTCTGTGGTGGTTCACTGCAGCGATGGCTGGGACCGGACAGCACAGCTAACATCGCTGGCCATGTTGATGCTAGACAGCTACTACAGGACAGTTGAAGGCTTTGAAGTTCTGGTGCAAAAAGAGTGGATAAGCTTTGGACACAAATTTGCCTCGGTAAGAATTAGAAGTTAATTGCAAGGACTATGCAACATTAACATTCTAAAAAGCTTTTAATGTTAGACTACTCATTGTGTCAAGGTTTGATAATTCTTTTTGTTATTTTGGAATTCTGATTTAAAACACTTCCAGGTAAATCTGAGCAGAGCTTTTGGGTTTGGACCTGTTTGGTTAATGGTTTTTTGCTATTCTTTCTCTGACAACTCCTATTTTGTCCTTTACACCCTTTTAAAAATACAGAATTGCTAGGGTTACTGTCGTTAATGAGCAAAGAAAATGAGAAAGCAGAAAAATGATGTCCTCCCAAACTTTTCAGAAGATCAAATAAGGCTGGGACATGAGGCTTTTCCCTCACCCTGTCTTTGGATTACTGATAATGTCATGAGAGGCAGATGATGGAGTCTGGCCCATGTCTTTTAAGTGATGTTTTGAATGCTTCTTCCCAAATGCTCTAAACTCGTCCTAATAGCTCTCAACTCAAGAGGCTGTCACTGATAATGCTGACTCTAGTTCTGTTCAGCTGTCATCTGGATGGTTAAAAGGTTAAGTAGAAATTGTCTATAGCAAGTCCTTAATATTCTACCCATGTATAATGCAAAGTCAAGGGTTTTTGTGTTAGGAAACTTTTCAGAGTCTTAGTGGAACTTCTCTTATGCTTGGCAGCTAACTGTTTAACCAGGAAACGTATACGAGGAACCTGGAGAAGCAGAATAGGTTGCCAGGGACTGTGTGCTGGGATATGTAAACATAAAACAAGTTGGGAGCTTTACAACAGCATTACTTGTTGATACTGAACCGTATAATTCACAGTAAGAGGTTTCCACACCTTCAGTAGAAGTTATTTGCACAATTTGTCCCTGGTGAATATTTCAAAGATATTCCTTAATATTGCTAAAATTGGGAAAATAGGCAATCTGGAAAAATCAAGACATGGAAAAATATACCTAGGTGTGTATTTCATGCATATTTTACATTTGCAAGAGTGTCTCAGTCATTTGGAAATTCATGTATAGCTACTCAGCATGAATCACTTCACCATTTAAGTGTGCTTGTAGGCTGCCTCAGTGTTTGATCTGACATTCTAAAGGTGCTTTGAGGCTTAGGAGATTTGCATTTTGATTGTTGGGAGTGATATCTGCTGTAGACCAGTTCTTTTGTGTGCTTACCTGTAGTCTTCTAGTAGCGATGTGTTGCATAAACCTTTGAAGTATTCTGTCTTGGTACAGCCACAGGAAAACACTGGCTTGCCTTTTTGTTGTCATATTTTATTTTGTATTTTTAAAAAATGTTAATAGTCATGACACAGATAAAATTAGATTGTATAACTAGGAGACTTGTAGCCTAGCACATATGTTATGGTTTAACACAAAGCTTAAAAAGAGAGTGTGTGTCCTTCACTATTATGAATAAATTTGAATGATCTATGATTCTTTTTTTTTTTACACCATTAATTTTAGTTTGAGGAATCGAAGGAGTTTGTTCTGTCTCAACAGATAATGTTTTTCTGCTATTAGTGAGGTAGGACTTCTACACACCTTCCAGATGACTAGCTCAGTCCACTGGTTCATCTCTGACAATGTAGCAGCAATAAGGGTGATTTAAATAGCTTGCTTTTGCTTAAACTGCTATTTTACTTTCCCAACTTGCTCACTCAAGTAGTAATCTTTGGAAGTGGCTGAAGCCACTCTCCTTTAGCCATCTGCTGTTTTCTGAGAGTACCATGTATTTTGATTTGATGGGTTGTTTAGCTTATAGTGAAGGTAGTCCTTTTTTGGAGTGTTCTGTAGAAGTGTTGAGTCACCATCCCTGGAGGTATTTAAAAGACATGTAGATGTGGCACTTAGGGATGTGGTTTAGTGGTGGACTTGGCAGTGCTCGGTTAATGGTTGAACTCGGTGATCTTAAAGGTCTTTTCCAGCCTAAATGATTCTATGATTCTATGATAAAAACTGATAATATAAGCAGAAAATACTTTGATCATATATGCTCTGTTTTGGTTTGGTAATTATTTGATAGAGCTGTGAGTTTTAATAGTGAGGACTAGGCACTTCAGTGCAGTTAGCATTTCCTGAACCTCATCTCTGAAACTATTATTGTTACACCTTCCCTCAGGTGGCGAGTTGGAGAAGAGTAGGGTGTTTCTTATATTGTCTGGGTTAGAGCAAACTTTCTGTTTTCATGTTACTGGGGTTGCAATTTGGATGTTTTAATAACAAATAACTAAATAGTAGACTACTTAACAGTTTCTCTCTGTATTTTCTATCTAATGAAGCGCACAGTAAGTTTCCTTGTTGAAAAGGAATTCCCTACCCCAGCTTTTTTATGTATAGTGAACTTAGAATCATAGAGTCATAGAATTGGTTAGCTTGGAAAAGACCTTTAATGTCATTGAGTCCAACTGTTAAACTTGGCATAATATCCAGGTGATAAAATTGCTTTCTATGTGGAATGTCATTCTAATAATGCCTTCTGATATAAGAAATATGAGGCATAGACATAATTACAGATGGAAAATACTCAGACATCCTAAAACTAACGATAGTGAAAGTGGAAGGACTTTTACTCCTTACTGAAAATACATATGACTCTGTTAACAGATACCGTGTATTTTAAACCAGGAAAACTGGAGAGCAAGGTAGCCAATTTGTTTGTCTTACCTGTAGTGCTTTTCTAGTAATTTGCTACTGTTGACTGAGTTAAACTACAATCCCTCATCTCCCTCTATATCCTGCCATTCAATTCTATTATTTTAAACTATCTTGCAAATCCTTGTTACAGAGTAGTGTACTGGTTTTATCATTTTTCATGTCCTTAAGACATTAAGCCTGCTATCTTGCAGGCAGATAGGCAACATCTTAGTTCAACATACATGCTCTTCTTTTGTCTCCTCCAGGCAATTATATTCAAGCAGAATTATGGAGTTAATAAAATCTCTTTTCCCTGAATCTCTTATCTGTTCTCAGCTATCAGATGTGAAAAGGAAGGAAACAGTTGGTGACCAAACCAACTTTTGTCTGTGGGGACAATTCCTTTGATTGTTACTTTGGACTCCTCAGAATAAGTGGCTCACCCAAACTTTAAAAATTAGCATTAATTTTCTGTGAAGAACATGAACATTTCTTTGAGCTCGCTTATGTTCACTGTCTACCTCAGGATGAATCTTTAGGTTCAAGTGTGGAGGGGGAAGAGGAGAATCTATGTGGATAGTTTGATGATCTAGTTTCTCCAGTGGCTTAAATTACAAAAGACAAAGTATATAACTTGACTTTGACAAACTTATTAGGTAAATGTAGTTCAAAATATGTCTTGATTATTTGCAAAGTAATGGATGCTTAAACCGTTCTGCTTGTACAATAACTAGCAGGTTTTTATAACAGGACCAATTATCACTTTGGAATTTTTGTCAGACATCTTCAGAACAGCTTTGCAGTATTTCTGTATATCTGAATCTTTCCTCCTTGGTGCAATAACTAATTCTGAAATCATAAGAACAGGTTGCTCTATTACAGAAGCATTAATATTCTATTGCAAAATAAGAAACAATGTCTGTTGGCCATAAAAGACTGTGTTGGTTAACAGGAGGCTGTATTGCTTCATTTCAGAGAATAGGCCATGGTGATAAAAATCATGCTGATGCAGACAGATCACCCATCTTTCTCCAGTTTATTGATTGTGTGTGGCAGATGTCTAAACAGGTATGTTATATCATTCTGCAGAAGGTAACATGATTAAGATATTACTGAATTAAAAACCTAGATCTTTATTAAAAAAAAAAAAAAAAGTATTTGAAGAGGACAGCATACCCCTCTGCTCTGACTGTAACCAAAAAGAGTGTATTTACTTTTAAATGGTACCATCTCTCTACCCAATTTCTAAAAGTGGTATACAAGCTGTAGTTATGTTGCTTAATATGGCATTGGCTATGCACGCAAGGCTGGTGTGTCTTGGATATGGGCTTCTTGGAAACATATTGAGATGTGACCCAGCAGAATGCTTTTACAGGAATTGCATCCAACTATCTTAATAGGGTCTGTTGTTTCGTTTCACCATTTTTGTGAAGCTGTCTCTTGAACTACAGGAACAAATGTTGTTTTGTCAAAGCTTCAGAAGGAAGCTTGGGAGCTATTGAGTGCTGTGATTTAAACGTATTTTCAATAAGTAACAAACAAAGCAGCAAACTTAAGTCTGTTTAGGGCCAAGGATTAGGAGCTAAACTCTTATTTTCCGGTTTGGTGCTGCACTGTTTAGAGTGCACTATGGATATCTTACTTTGTCTTGCTAGTAAAAATATAACTGTAACCATTCTGTATTTTATTCTTCTATTTAGAAATTAAAGGCAGTTAAGAACATTTTGAGAAGAGTTCTTTTCAGTGACTAGTTTGAGAAAGTTGAACACCTCATGTCATCTGAACACTTACTGTGCTATAAAGTATATAAAAGTATTATCTTAAAAATTATTTGTAGATGTATTCAGGCTTCTAAATGCCACCTTTAGCTTCTTAACCAGGGCATGTGCATCTCTCCCTCCTTTTATGATGGAAAGAACAAATTTATCTTTTCTGTTTTTAGTTTCCTACAGCCTTTGAATTCAATGAGCAGTTCTTGATTACAATCCTGGATCACTTGTACAGCTGCCGGTTTGGTACTTTCTTGTATAACAGTGAGTCTGTTAGAGAAAAAGAGGTTAGTCAAACCACGGATTGTTTAGTTGTATTGCTATCTTGACTCTAGATGATTACAAAAAGTTTTCGTTGTATCATATTTGGTTATATTCCTTGTATGACAATGGTTTTGAACTGGCTTTATTCTCGTTAAAGAATAGTTGCATGGTAAGTTCCTTAGTTTTGGTAGCTTAAAGACTATTCAGTCACTAAAATACTTGCTAAGCTCTGGTTTTGGAATATTTCTAATACAGTAACTTACTATGCTTCTAAGTAAATCAGAAGTGTATTAATTTTAGAATGTAACCTTGGCTTCTCTGATGGATTTCCTGATTTTGTGCAAATATTTACTGTTCTTATTTCAATTTCATTTTAGAAAGTGACTGAGAAAACATTATCATTATGGTCTTTAATAAACAGTGAAAAATCTAAATACACCAATCCTTTTTATACTAAAGAGCTAAATCGAGCGCTCTATCCGGTAGCCAGTATGCGTCATTTAGAGCTCTGGGTCAATTACTACATCAGGTGGAACCCAAGAATTCGGCAACAAGTAAGTAAATTCTCTATAATGTACAAAATGCTTTTAGACTTCAGAAGTAGGATTTTGTGTCGTAACTGACTTGTAGAATAGTACCTGTAATCTGTTCACGTTTTTCAGGTTTTTGTAAAGATGCAGAGAAAAAAGTGAAAATGGTTTTTCGGTTTTGGTTGGGGGGGGGGTTGTGGTTTTTTTTTTTTTTTTTACTCACTCAGCTCTTCTCAGAACACTGAACTTATTTCACTGCTTAGTATCAAGTCATCTTCAAGCTCTTTCTAGTCCCTTTTCTTGCGGACTGGCCTGGGGGAGCATTTTTTAAGGGCATTTCATGCTACTAAAGGGTGAGTGACAACACTTAGAAATAGGGCTTACTGACCCCTGAAGAGTTAGGGCATTAGCATCACAAACACGCTTAGTTGCATTTGCTTAGTCTTTATTCTTTTTCCAAGAGAGTGTATGAAGTCTTTTACAAATTAAGATGATCTATTCGGTCCTTTCTTTTTCAAAACTGCTATCTGTATTGATGGCTTATGGTAAGAATCTTTTTTCTTTTCTTATGTAACTTTGATGACCCAACATTGTTTAGACTGTGTAACTGTTGGATGAAAGCTGTTACTGAAAATCATACAAGCGGATCAGATTGGAAGCCCAGAAAAGCATTTATCAAATTACATATAGTTCAGTTCTGTGCTTTTAATGTTTAATATATGGACACTCAATGTTTGTTACAGTCTTCTAGAATCCTTAGCAATGTGGCATGTAAAGACGGTGTACAGAGTCTTACTTGTCCTTCCTAACAAGTTGTGGAGTTTTGAGTAGAAGATAGAGGAGCAATTTCTTTGACAGAAGCAGTCTTCACAGTCCAGCCCCTGGAATGAATCAGGAGTTTTCAGGGAATGCACTTCCTTTTCTGCAGCTGATCTCCTGTATTTATTTACAACACTTCGGAGGCTGCAAGAAAGCCAGACGGTTTTATATATTTTCTTACAAGTATGTTGCCAGTTTTAATTTGAAGTTCTAGTTTTAGAGCTTTTGTGGCTTGCTGTGAAAGATGAGGCCATTTTGCAAAAGATGAATCCAAAGATTTATTTTAGAAAGTGAAGGATTGTAGGGCATGCAAATTAGCTGTAAATCTACTTAAAAATGCGCTTTGCCATTATTCAGGGAAGGTTTTTGGCAGGAGTTTTTTATTAGAAATGCAAACCCATGTGATGATCTTCTATGCTGCTACTACTGGTCCCTCATTTTTGCCATTTTTATATATAAAATGCGACAATTTTTCTGTGCTGCACTTGAATTTTATGCTTCATCTTCACTTAAGCAACTGAACAGTGGGCATGTGGCCTGAACCAGTTTTTTGATGACCTTTCTTAGTGCCGTTACTTAGAAGCATGTTCCGGATCAGACTTCAGTCTAATGAAGAGTCTGGTCTGTCACTAGCAACATCATTAACCCTACATCTCTAATCATCTTAGTAACTAGATTCAGTCATTGATCCAACTTCCACAGTTGCTTCAGCATTCATCGCTGTCCTCTTCTGGGGTGCATAGTGAGTGGTGCACCTAAGAGTGCCAATTCAGCTGTTTTTCAACTGGTGAGGCATTTACATTTGCTCCTACTGTACTGCTAATAGCTTTTAATTACAGGCTTAATTTAATTAACTGTGAAACAGCAGCAACTTCTTGACAGGGTTAGGCTCTGTATCTGCCTTGGACATTTGTAATACTTTTCCATTTGTTTCATTATTTGATCTGAAGAAGGAAGCTAAGCTTAAAATGGAAACAGTTAAGATGCTCTTTCTGTGAGTAATCTCTTGAATGCCAGGGCGGTTGATTTTAAACACATTCAGGTTTACTTACAGAATTCACTACTATTAAAAACTGAAGTAAATTTCATCAGTAAGGGAAATTATTTAATCTGAAGACATGGATTTCATCTTAATCTCATCAGTGTAGCTAAAATAGTCTGGCTAAACACTGTTTTTAGGGAAGATGATGAGACATCTGACCTCTGGAATCTAAAGCCTTTTAATAAGTCAGGAAGAGAAAAGCTTCAGACAAGGTATTCACACCTATCTTCCACACAGTATTAGATAATAAGAAAATAAAATCCATGTGCTCCAGGAAATGCTGGCTGATTTTATTGAGGTAGGAAGAACTGTTTTGTGTAAAGATTTTCTTTGGATGGGAACAACTGGAAGGCAGAGGGCTCTTGCATTATAGAAATAAATATTTCTGTAACAACTTGTTACATATGTTGGAAACTACAAATACTGAGTAATGCCAGGAAAACAAATACTACAGCAGCCTAACTGTATAGAAGTAGTTGGACTGAAGTGATAAGACTAATATAAATCTCTTTCTAGCAGCCAAATCCAGTGGAGCAGCGTTACATGGAGCTCCTTGCGTTACGTGATGATTATATAAGGAGACTTGAAGAACTACAGATCACAAATAATTCTAAGATACCCAATTCATCAGCCTCATCAGCATCTCCCTCACAAATGATGTCCCAAGTACAAACACATTTTTGAAGAAAATGTTGGCTTCGTTCTATACTGTTAATAGCAAGTGGTGCTTAACATAGCATAGAGAGGAATATTTTAATGCCTTACATTAGACTGTCCTAACACAAATTATTTTAGACTGCCTTCATTTGAGGAGGACTTCAAAACAAACAAAACCAACTCTTCAATTACGTGCCTTTCAGAACCTGTGGACTGGGAACATTATTAATCATCTTCTAGTTATGGAGGGCTTTAAGAGTGATTTTGGAAAGTCTGGTACAATTGAAATGAAATGGATTTATTGTTTTCATAAGAATGCTTTAATTTATTACATTGTAGGTCATGTTCCTGTAAGGAAATTCATGCTCAGTCTTACATGTTGTGAATAAGTGCATTAATGGCAATAGGAATATTCACATTGTGTAAAAAAATTAGATATGTGTGTATTCCCATTAGGAATACGTTTGTGGAAATAAATTCTATTGTCAGATTTCAGAGAAAAGTGTTGAAATTTTCCAGTTACCTGAGAATTCCAAATTTTCCTTTTTTGAAATAAAACTATGGAAGGGATTTCAGTGATATGCTTCTAAGTAAAAAAAATTCAAATAGCTCAGTAGATATCAAAAGAAAAGAAAAAGCTATTTTTTACTGTAAATTGATTTTTTTTTAATTTATTTTTTAAACCAATGACAATTGTACTGGATTCTGAGAAGTCCTGTTTTGGCTAACTGTTCAGCACTAAAGTATATTACAAATTATCACTGTTGGCAATATTGGTTCTTTGGATTAATACAAAATAAAATGGTTCTAAAGAAGGTTTATATAATTAAAACCAGACCTACAGAGACATTGCTTTTAAATATCCAGCAATAGCCATAGTATTAAAGCTTGTATTTGTCTTCTAAAAGTAAATGTGCCTGTTTAAAGGAACTTTTTATACCAAAGTAGGCAAAAATTTTCAGTTACAAATACTGTTGAAAACTTGTACATTTATAGCTTACTGTTTAATTTAACTTTTGTTCAATGAATTTATTCTTAAGTATTTAAGGGACTTAAGTATACAAGATTTACATATAATGTGTGCACTTATATTGAACCTTCCAGTGCATTCTAGTTTCAAGCCTTCATTTCAGAGGCTTCTTGTAAACCTTTAATTTGTTCCTTTTCAGGTATTTTTTAAACAGTTGCAAGCATTTCTTATGACAGCACAAACCTTGCTACTTGATATTTAATTAAAATTTTGCATATTCTGAGAAGTTTAATGATATTCAAGCAATCCAGGAAATATTGCAATTCAGAATCTGTAGAGGACTTTTATCTAATATTGTTATTTTAAAGGAGATATTTTGATGCTTGAGGCTTCTGTCATTGTAAATTATTGTACATGTGGTGAGTTTTGATCTGCAAGATATAATAGGATTATATATAAATTAAGTTTTGTGTAAGTATATATAATATAGTTTGTTAGAAATTCTGCAAGTTTATACAGTGTAAATATTTTGCATATGAAAACTAAATTTAAAGCTATAGTTCCATAAAATAAGTCAAAGTTTAGAGGACATCTGAATATTTTTAGAACAGTATTTTTTCAAAGGAATAAAAGTGTACCACCTCTTGATTTAATTCAGTATATACACTGAATTGCACTATTTTTTTTCAGGGAAGCTCGGAGCATACGGCATGTGTGTTCTAAATACACAATTTATAAGACTTATTTTTGTCCTCTAAATTTCATTCTCCCGTCAATGTTCTTCAGTATGTGTTTCCAGAATAACAACATTGTCCCCAAATCTTGACTTGTTAAGGTAAATAAGATGCATTACATCAGATAAATGAAGAAGGATACTGAATTGTTCATGGTATACTTTACATTTTGAAAGCTATGCATACTCTGGTATATTTGCCTTCTACTTGTGGTTTATAAAAAAAGCTATTTTTATTAGAATATTTAAAGTTTCTGTATTTGAGTTGGATATATTGGTGACATCTCTGAGCAGCGTGGAGAAGTTCAGAAAATCTAATCGTTTTTACTGTGTAAACACTACATGATAACCTATTGCATTTGGGAAAGTGTAATATAATGGAAAGGATCTTTTTGCACTTACTTCATTACATATATCCCATTCTTATTATTACTGGTTCAGTTGAATTTCAGTCTTTGAAGCTCTCTAACATAGCTCTGTGCGGGCTTGGATTTTTTTCAAGTCAACAGATATGATACTTGTTTTAATTCCATTTTTACGTGGTGATATTAGGCAAACATAGGGGTGTTTTTAATCCAGTACTTTCTGGAAGATACTACTCTGAAGTTGTGAATGTAGGCATACAAACTGATCAATGTTAACAGAAAGCTTTTCTCCTTTCCACTTAAACGCGTGCTGGGGGCTGTCCTTCTGCAATGCTCTATCTGTAGGGCACCGCCGGTCCCCTGGGCGCAGGGGCAGGTGCAGCCGCTGACCCGTTGTTAACTGCAGTCGGTTCCCTTGTTGTAGCTGTCGCGGCCAAGAACAAACCCGGGGAACCTTTCGAGGCGGTGAACGAGAGAGTTCGGGCGCCGAGTGCCTTTTCCAGGAGGGGTAAAAAAGCAGGGCTGGGATGGGAACGTCAACAGCTGTAAATGCCCAATATCCAACATGAACTATCCATCTCGGAACGCTGTTTTAGTTTTTTTCCTTTCTGTACCCTTCCTTCCACGGACCTGAGAAGATAACCTAGTTTTTGTGCGGGGCTTCAGTTACTTATTTAGAAAGTTTATTTGTTGAATGCCTTCTTTATTTGCTTATGCCTTATCCACTCCAGCATCACTGTTAAGGGTGTACCCTAGAAACGATTTGCATACTACCTCCTTTTAATGTATTTTTAAACTCTGCCTTGGGTTCAGTTTTTTTTGTCTTGCGTTTTGTGTCATGCTTGAGAAAACAGCTTTTTAAAACTGACCAGGACTCTCCTCGTGTGCTCGCTCCTCGCTGCTCCTGAAGTAACAGCTTTGGCCGCCCTCGTCCCACCCCGCAGGACTGCGCCGGAGCCGGGCGTCACCTGTCAAGCGCCTGTGGGGTCCGGGGTGGGGGAGAGAGAGCTTAACATCCGTCTGCCATGTATGTGTGTGAAGGAAAGAAAAAAAATAAAAATGTCAGTTTTGAACCCTTTGCCTCTGACGGACGTCGTAGTGGAACGCTGAGAGGGTTCGCGCCTTTCCGTCCCCGCTGATGGCGGTCCAGCTCTCCCACCGCCGAGGGGGCTGGAGGCCTGAGGGGGCGCCCGCCGGCCCTGCCCTCCCCTCA